AGGTAAAAAAAAAAAAAAAAAAAAGGACTTCAAAACCAAGCTGAATTTGTGATTCCCTAGTTAAACATGTATTAATTTTGTAATTGCTGTTATTCTAATACAGGACGAGCCCTAATCAAACTAATGGCAAAATTAAAAGCAAGCCTTTAAATCCTTTAAACTGACTTCACTTTATCCAGTGATGTCTGTGCTAGCAAAGATTTTAGATTGTGTGTGTGTGTGTGTGTGTGTGTGTGTGCGCGCAATAGGAATGGCCAATCATAAGAATTCAGTTATTCTACTGCTGCTCTCACCCACACAATATTCAAACATATACATAGTGGGCAATCTGTAACAGATGCTTGAAAACTTAGGTAAAATTAAATACTGAAAATAGAAGAAGCAGAAATTGAACATAATCAGGAAGATGTGGGCTTTGATTTAACAGTTCAAAAACTGAAATATGCCAAATGTGACAGACCTAGCAAATCCTTCAGCACACAATTGTTGAAAAACTGCTGCAAAATCCATTCCCAAAATCGAGCACCATCTCATCTTTCCCTCATTTTACAATGGCTCGCACTTAAGATTATGACAAATGCTTTTACTGCAGAGGCTTGGGTAAAGTGCTCAGAAAATTTTAGAAGATGGGGGAAAATTCATTTTATTTTGGCAACTGTCCTTAAAAAAAAAGGAAAAAAAAATAAAAAAGAAAAACTATGCTTAATTCTAATAGATATGTATTGTTCAATTTAAGTAACAGGTATTAAATCACTTTACAAATACAATATACATTTGAGGTAACTCGAGGGGAGTTTTAAAAATAATTTCAGTCTTCACCAATTCTCCCTGTTAAGGTCAGAGTCTCTAAACCAGCATGGCTGAATTGTTTTAGTGCTCTCTGCTGAACACCTGCAAACATCAAACAAAAACTCCTGGTCCTTTACTGGGTTGACAAAAGCCTTTCATGTGAAAAATGCTCCATGGGAATGTCACGGCTGTGGCTCAGGTTACATTCCTTTCTCCCTTGCAGCCCTCACCAGTTCTTAACATGGTAAGAAGCCATGTTTGTGAAATTAAAGATTAAAAGGAAATGTGGCTTTACTTTATTTTCATTCACACATTACAAATCACAATAGAGCATCATATATTAGATGAGTAAAAAGCTATTAAGATGACTTTAAGCATGAAATAGTACCACGCTTCTTAAAGTACAGTTAGTTTCACTTCACTGCTTGGAATTACTTTTCTTTGGGGTCTTTTTTTTTTTTTTTCCCTCCCCCTATAAGAGAAGTTTCGGGTTAATGCAGAGGAGTGACATCTGTGGTTCCTCATCTCAATAAATATAATTTTTAAAAGAGGACCGTTAAGAGAAGATCAGCTCAAACTTCAGAAGGGCATCTGTCCAGGAGAAGACCAGGCTGCACTTGCATCCCTAAAATTCCATATTACCCACACGCATAACTAGAATAATAAACTGTGCTCACATCTTATTACTGGAGCTACCTTAAATCCTTCCATGTAGTTAGAGAAAACAGCTCTTGAAGCAGTTGTCTGGGCGCTATCATCCCAAACCTGAATTTCTCAAGTCCTGGCTCATACAGCACCGCACACCAACACTGCGAAGCAGCGAGCCTCTCGCACACGGCCAGCTGGCCAGCAAGAGCCCAGGGAAACAATAGCCACGCTTCTCCTGCACGCAGCTGTACCTTCAGGCCACACACCCACCCCAGCACCACCGAGGGACAAGTCCCTGGCACCTAGCTTCTGACAACTTTTTCGAAATCACTGATCACTCACTGCGAAACTCCCCGACTAATAACCAAGCAACAGATATTTGTACAGTAAATTCAGACTGATTCTCCCTTAGAGGAGCGCACCCTGTGCTGCCTGCCAGCCTGCAAACAGCCTACCAACACACAGCAGACATCCCCTTATCAAGCAGGGTGCTTCGTCCTCCACCATCAGACTGGTGTATTCAAGCATCCACACGCTGTTACAGGCTGGGAGAGTTCAGGTGTTATTTTAAACGGTCTACACCTTAATATTACTAACTCACTTCAGCTCATTAAATTAACTGTACGTCTAAAAGGATGTGTCAAAGTTACTTTGATGCTTTCAGCTTTAGAGACAATAAAATCCAACGTAACCTCTCGCTTTCACTCGCTCTTCAGATTTGGCACCCTGCGGTATTTCTGACCAAAATGACTTCATAGATGAGCTTTACAATGCATTTATTAAATATCACTACCTAGGCAAGTGCTGTTAGCCCAAGTGTTTGTTGCTGCATTGACTGGTACATAAGCATGACAAATTGATTTGTCTGGCACAAACACTCTTTGCTTCTCTCCAGTTAAAACAAATACAGACAATATCATGTATTCGGTTAAATCAGTTATTAAAATTATGTAATTCAGAAAAATGACAAAAAATAGGATTAAAATCATTAGCTTTGGAGATACAAATTACATTTTGGAAAGTTATTCAAACCTAACAGGAAAATTCTCCAAGTCACTGCATTCATAATATAACCAAATTTGTCAAGGTAAAACAAAACCACATTCTTATTTTGAAAGTCTGAATAGAATAAAATTCACAAAATGAGTGCTTAATAATTGTAGGTGGCGTTTGATCTAGTATCTTAAAAATGGATATTACAGGCTACCTTCAAATTAGGAAGTCCTTCTTTGGAAATAAAAAGTTAATTTGAGGTACTAGTGCATTTAATAAAAATGGCTATACTCAACACACAGAAGAGGTTCCTTTAATTGAGTACAAACTGCAAATACCAGGCATGAAACTATATGCAATGACGTGTTTATATCTAGATATCCACTGGCAGTTCGCAGTGAAGACTTGTCCAAATTTACCATCTGATTTAGAACAGTACTCTGTGTATAACAATACTACGTACAGTGTGTTGGTATGTGTAATTGCCTGTGCTTTGAAAACACTGCAACTCTCCACCCGGAGATGTGTGTGTGTGTGTGTGTCCTGTCCAAAACCCCACATCCGCAAGGCAGGGAACCCTCTTAAACGAACTTAATAGAAGAGTAAGGAAATTTCAAATGCGTAAGTATCTTTGCTAGTTTTACTTCTAATTTGTCAGGCATATAAAAGCCTCTACATAAAACTTTAGTTGCCAGACAATTATTGTCCACATATGTTCTACCGCAAAGAGCTCTGATATTTCTTTTGTCATCAAACAGGACTCCTGTTTTTATGGAACGCAGAAGTTGCCCATAGAGTACTACTGCAGCCAAATAAACAAACATACAAACAAACAAATCCTCCAGTTCAATTTCAAGGACTCTTCAAAAAGCAGTCAAATATTTTGAAAGAAAATGCCCCTGCCTTCCACCAGGAAAAGAAACCAGCCTGAAGATTTTAATTCACCGAAAAATTATTTCATCAGCAAACAGTGATCTCCAATACTAAAGAGTTGTTTTCCCGGAAGAGGTTGGTGTTTATACTCGGATCCTTGCTTATTTATTTATTTAATTTAAGCAGCCTTCAATTTTTATTCACAAAATTAATTCTCACGCAATATGTTTGGCTTAGCATTTCTGACAGACAAAAGACAGCAGCTGAAACTGTAAATAAAATTCTCCAGTGCTCAGTTTAAAAAAGAAGATTTTAACTAGCTCACCTTGAACAATTACAGTGAGGAGAAGTTTGGGTTTGGTTTTTTTTTAATCAGAAAGGCATGGAAATACTGTGAAAATATCCCAGCCTTGTGGAAATAATATTAATAATAGTAACAGCCAGCGCTTAGGAATAATTCCGCTCAAATCTGAATGAATCTGCTCCCCAGAAGAGATTAACAGAACCACAACAAAGGTAATGCCTATGGATAAATAACTAACAACATTTTAGCTACATACGAAACAAAAATTTTACATACTTGAGCCAGTAAAATGTCCACTTGCCAAGGAAGTTGGTCCATTTTTCCCACTGCTCACAGGAGGTGAAAACATCTAAAAAAAACAAAGAGGCATTACTACTGGAAAACAAGAGATTCCCGAGTCCACTGTTAGTCAAAAGTTCCTTCCACATTCGCTGTGAACTACGTTCATAGTTTGTCTATCACGAAACATCATCCCCCACAGACCTGAAAACGAGTCAATATTTCTTACAGCCCCCACCAGCCCCTCGCCACCATCATCACGTTTTTATTAGGCTCATTAGCTCCCCAAACAATATTCGCTTCCCGAAGAGCCTGAGCAATCCCAGTCCCCAGCAGCGTGCTCCAGGCTGGGAAGCGGGGCTCGCTCCCCTCTCCAACTCTCACGCTGACAAAGGCGAAAAAAGTTTTTTTTTGCTGAAACCTTGGCCATAAATGTAGCAATGTCCATTTCCATCCCGCTTTAGGATTTGCCTGTCATATGTGAACCCAAAGAATAATAATGCAAAGTGCCACCTGCCCTAAATTCTCATTTCGTCTCTAACACGAGAGCAATTTGAAGCAAGGCTCTCTCCCTCTCCCCCTCTCTCTCCCTCTCTCTCGCTCCCTCTCTCTCTCCCTAGCATTTATTTCGACCCTAATTGGTTTCTCTCTTCTTCGACGTGTCTAGTGGATAATACGCACCTTCCCTGAGTCAGAGCCTGCAAAAAGCGAAGGAACAAATGGAAAAAGTGCAACAAGCAAAGAGGGGGCTGCAAAGCTGCCTCAGGCTACGTTTCCTGGCCCAACTTCCCCAAGCCATTCCTCCAAAGCCAAGTCTGGAGCAGCAGCAGCAGCACCAGCCTGAAGCAGCCTCATTTTACACGGGGGG